TCAATGGGAGAAGTCCCAGACGGAGCAGTGAAGGGAAACTAGAATTGAGCGGAGCTGCGTAGGAAGGCAAGGGTCAGGCTATCTGTTTACCAAATTTCAAGGCAAACCCACGTGTTTGATCTGATTAGAGAGCTCTCTGACATGAAGGATTTTGATGTACAACGTGTTGCACAAAGCTAAATATGAGAGGTTTACTTAAGTTACAAGCACATAAACTACAGTAACTGTTTACCAAAACCAGAACCACGCAGGAGTCTGCATTCAGGGCGTCTTATCCCTTCACACTTCAGCTTGCTAAAATAAGTTTCTTTTTTTGTTTGCTTCAAACTTTTTGTACTCATGTTTATTAAACGACAGTACAACTGTTATTTATGCATTTGAGCATAAAATGTGTTAAGCTGCTGCTCTGTATCYTGTTTCCCTGTGTTAGCTGGTTTGGTGAGGAGATAAATGATGGAAGCTTTTAGTAGAAGCTTCACCTGAGCAAACAGGAAGTTTTTCTAGAACCTGAGAAATAAAAAAAACTACAGGTCTCTGAGAGATGGGAGGGACAAAGTGTGCAGCTCCGTCAGATCCTACCTGTTCTTTCAGTCYGCTCTGGTTTTTGCGCAGCCGTGTTCTGCTGCTCCCACTCCGGCCTGTCCTGCTCCCACTGGCCCCCCGCAGGCCCCCTCTCCTCTGCGCTCGATGGGAGGTCCGCCTCGCCCCCCTCAGAAAGCTACAACACAGAGATGCCATTGTCAACAGAGGAGGCCTGCTCTCAAGGAGGAAGATTGTAACAGAGCACTTATGGTCACAAAACCCACAAAACAATATACCAGTGGCTGATTTCGTGTTTTTTTTTTTTTTTCCACAATTCCCTACATCTTTTTCATCTAGTTCTCCATTACACACTGAGCAAGAATGTGATGGAAATGAGGCCCTGCTTTTACCACAGAGCAGCTTCGGTCTGTACCTTAAATCCAGCAGYACCAAAGTGTAGGTTAATGGAAGCAGGCAGAGTCATCTCCCTCGCTTTTTCCAGGGATGGAAATAGAATAGATTCACTCTCAYGGTTTATACCCACTATTTGTCAGGGGGGAAATGACTTATCATGATGAACCTTTTTTAAGAGAAATGCAGTGAACATTTTGGGATACGCTGACCTTCGTATGACTGATTTCTGCTGCAAGATGTCTCTAAAGATACACATGCTTTAAGTCCATCAAGTATAATCTGCGTGTCTGAGCAACTCAAAGTTTGGAGTTTGGGAGTAAAAACAAAAACACATAAAGAATAAATAGAAGTGAAACAGAGCTTGGACTGAGCCATTTACACTGTGTGACTTTGCTCAGGCGCAGAAGTTTTAATCACCACCACTCTGCTTCCTTCCTCTTGGGAAAAAAACATGCAGAAATTCCTCCCAAGCACTGAACAGAGACTGGAAACTCTTGCATCTCTTTCTCCTTGCTTGTCTGCCTTGACCATTTTCGGTGTAGGGCCAATATTGAATCAAAATAAACGATACACGATAGAGATAAGCAAAACGCCATGTTCCRCAAGCTCAGAAAAATACCACCATCTGTGTTGGCTTCCTTTTCTTTCTTTCTTTATTCTTTTTATTTTTTATTTGTGGTACAGACAGTAAACACACAAACAGAGAGTTACAACTCACCCACTGTTGATTGGGCATTGCCACGGAAGTTAGCACATCAGCCATGGCTCCCAACATCTGGTCGGTGCGTCCCTGAWTCTTCTGCACTGCTTTCATTCTCTCCAAAGGCAAAAGGCAGCCCCCGTCCTTCTGTCTCCAGCTCACAGAGGACTGTACCTCAGTGTGGAGCTGAACCCACCTCGTTCTGCTCTGAAACTTAATGCATAGGAATATCTGATCTAGGAAGAGGAGGGCTCCTCTCTCTCTCTCTCTCTCTGTCTCTCTTTCTCTCCCTCTCTCTCGCTCTCTCTCTCTCTCTCCAGAACTGGCAACTTGTCCCTCTAGCAGTGCGGACAGGTGAGATACTTTCTGATTGAGTTCAGAGGCTGGAAACCCACCTGGGCAGACAGGTGGGTTTCCTCAGGCCTCCTGCTGAGCTCACAGGATCATCTCTCCTCCTCTTTCATTCCTCAATGAAAACAACCTGACCGTCCTCTTATGTCTTCTCTGAAAGCAGTGACTTTGAACATCACCCTCCCTGAAATCCTTCTTTCTTCTTCTTTATTGGCTATAGAAGACTATCACACACACACACACGCACGCACACACACACACACACACACACACACACACACACACTTAAAATAAATCAACCTCACCTCCTTTCATAAGTCTCTCTTGTCTTTTCTTTTTCTTTACTTTTTGTCTTCAATATCTGGTTCATCCTTGCCGATCTGACACTTACCCAATCATTCCTTTATCTGTATCTCTCTGTACTGGTCTTTGAACCGAGACACACACAAACACACACACACACACACACATCCACGTGCACATACACACACCGTCTACATCTCTGCCCTAAGTCTCAGGCAGTGACACATGGAGTGTGTGAACTCTTGGCCAGGAAGGGAAGCCCCAAATAAGGCAGGAGAGCAAGCACACACAAAGTTTAACTATTTAGGAGAAGAGTCACTATGTGTCATCACATCTTACTCCATTTATTTCACTTCTGAAATATTCAGTTCTTAAAATAAAACCCTGTTCGTTTAGGGCTATCGGATACAATGATCAGCAGTGAAACAAAAAGTTAATTCTTTTGAAGTGGGGTTCTGTGGTAAGGTTATGAATAATTAATATCTCACCTGTTGGAACAACCTCACTTTAATGATGAAGCTGGGAGTGAGTCCAAGTGTGGCAAAGACCAAAGTGGACTGCTGTCAACCTGAAATAACAACAATACTAAACACTTTGGAGCGATTCACATGAACTCTGTTAAATCTGGACATCGGGTGCGTCCAGCCCTGCATTTTCCATCAGCTCCTTGCTGCGACACACCTGATTCTGTGACTGGATTACCATTTTAATTCTTCAGAAGCCTGTTAATCGACAATTCAGTCAAAATCAGGTGTTGGAGCAGAGAAATCCCTGTCCCCAGGATGCAATAAAAGTGCTACTGCTAGATGCTGATGCTTCTGTTTATAGCAGGAATCCGCCAATCTGATTCAAACACTTTTTCACCAAACTGAGGTCCATCAAAGCTATATCTGAAACAGGTAAGATATTTTTTGTTTGTAAAGTTTCTACTAAACCCTTCTTCAAACAATTTGAGCCATCCCTTTAAATCAAAAGGTTTGTCTCATTGTGTGTATTTCCTGCTGCAGCGAGAGCACCTGAGCCAAGCAGGAGTTTTGCTAACRTCATCATGTGGTTCTATGTATTTATTTATTTTAAAAAACAATAATAAAAAATAATAAAAAGCAAAGAAGAACACGAAATTCTTGTTTGGCAAAATTCTGCCTCACAGGATTTATCTTGATGTCATCTACAATCTTTTATTTTGTCACTAAACCTTCAGTAATATTCAAGAAATAAATTAATTCTACTTCCTGTAGAGCTTACTGCTCCCAACCAAAATACAGGCTTTCATTAGTTGTGAACCTATTGAAAAGATAAAAGCTTATAATTATGACGCTGTTTTTGTTGTTGGTTGGTGGTGTTATTCTGGGGACCAAATTAAGATGGATTAGTGTTGTGTGGATAACAAACAAGTGCTGCTTAAAATAAAATTTAAAAAAAAAGGCTGTGCTGAATGTTTCTGATCAAATCAATGAAAAGGTAAATCATCTGAGCTGAAGTTGATGAAGTTTCACCTGACTGTGAACAGAGCTGAAGAAGCAGCCGGACAGAATCAGTCATGGTATTTGAAGTGGATTTTATTTGACTAAATGAAGACATATTTAAATGTTTTATTCTTTTTTTTTTAAGGTCTGATTCTTTTGAAACCCTAATCCCAACCTGCTAGCCATGTGTCTTACAGCTGAACACTATTTCTTCAGAGAGAAAGTTGTTCTTCGTCATTCACCGTCTTAAACATTTTCTTTTATTTTCAATAAATATTGTAAGTTTTACTCCTGTTGTATAAAAGGTTTGTGCAGGACTATTTTGGCCTCTTACTTGATTCTATAAACCTGCATCGATGGACAGATCAAAATGATTTGGGATTGTCTTCATTGTTCTGGCACTTGTTGAGCAACGTGTAGTTTTTAAGCCATATTCAGACTGAGATGCTCACGTTGTCCTGTTTTGGTCATGCTGGAGTCTGAGCCAAAGGTGGCTGAGCTTCCTGCGTGTGAGCTGCTGAAAAGCTGCCCTGCAGATCATCCAACCATTGTATTTCTGTAATCATTTGAGTCACTTTCCATGTTTTGTTGCAATCATTTAACTTATTTTTTTAATTTTTGAGTATTTTGCTCCCAAAATTCCTCCATAATGTAACAAAGTATCAGATGAGAAGATCTCTGAAATCCTGAGGAAAAACAAACGTTTGTGCRGGTTGAAGCCTGTTGAGCTGCTTTGGTCACTGTTTCCTAACTAAACCTCACTCTGACTGATATATTCTTCACGTTAAACCTGAACTTTTCTTTCCACTGCAGTTTCATGTGTCAGCTGTAAAACACCTTCCATTTATTCAGAAGTCATGTCAGGATATTGACGAAATCTACATCAAAGACCTGAAACAGGACAAGAGGGACTCATCATCTACCAAATGTCAAGCTTTCAACGAAGACACTAGTTTCAGCCAAACTGTGTTAAGCTTGGTAATATTTTGTATTCTACCAAAGTAACTGAAAAAGTTTTTTGTTTTTCATAGGTTGATGGTTATATATACACTCACCGGCCACTTTATTAGGTACACCTGTCCAACTGCTCGTTAACACTTAATTTCTAATCAGCCAATCACATGGCGGCAACTC